TGTTTAATGCACCTTTAAGTACCCTTACATGTCTGTCTAATCAACATTCAGTGCATATTGCATATATGCAAATAATGAACCTCTGAAAGCACAATTTGTGTGTCATCATTAGTTACAGCCAAATATGGCCATTGTCTTCAAAATGTCCTTCAAGACATAAAACACCTCATTAGCAGCGATTCAAGTGTCAACTAAATGGATATATCATGTGTCCATTTGAGAACTGGCCATTGAAAATGCACCTCTCTCTCTCTCTCTCTCTCTCTGTTTTTGTCTTCATAAACACAGCTGTGACCGGCCTCCTGTGTCCTGTCACACCAATCATCCGACGACAGTCTTACAAGGTTGACCTGGTTACCAAGAGGCCTGTGTTCCTATCCCATCATGCGTCACCTCACCACCCTCTTCCTCCTGGTGCTGCTCCTGCGGACAGCTGAGTCCCGGAGAGGCCCTCGGTCAGGGGCTGTGGAGAGGGGTGCTAGGGGCCGTGTACGGGGCAGAGGCAGAGCCGGAGTGATGAGACGTCAAACTCAGGAGTGTAAGGAATACATGGAGGCAGGAGAGAAGTACCTGGACTGCCAGGACAGACAGCTGACCACCGTGATGCAGGACTGGCCCAAAGATATTCACCATCTGCTGTTGGCAAGAAATAAGATTCAGGTACATACAGACAATTTACACATGCACAGTGCAAACATAAAGAGGCAAGACACAGAGCAGCTGCTACAGTTTAGACACAACCAACAATAATGAACAAATTCTCCTGTCTAGTACAGTTTTCTAGTACAAATGCATCAATTTTCTGCGAGTTAGTTCTCAAGCCTGTTACTCTGACCCTAAACCCAGCCTGCTTGTTGATACCATGAGCATCTGTGCACCATTTATATCGGGGCCGAGATCAAAGACACATTTTTCTGTTCTGTATGTGTGTGTGTAGATTTTTGCCATGTCGGAGTGCACACACAGGATGTGTGTGTCACAGGTGTTGAGAGAAACAAAACAAAATGGTTTGCGAGCGAGGTAATAAATAATAAAAGATGAATGAGTTATAAACACTGATCAAATCGGTGAAAAATTAGTTTAATTAAGCTTTACTTTCACCCTTTCAAGTTCAAAGAGTTGGGTTGTTGAACGAATGAGTAGTGTGGGAAACAATGAATAATGTGGGTTTTACTGTATTTTTAGTATATCTTTACCCCTGTTGGATTTGGCATAAAATGAAGAACCTTTAGAACGTATTAACAGTATTTTCATTAGTATTAAAGCTATATCCTGCAATTTGTACTTAAAGTTGCAATATGTCTACTTTTATATAAAAATGGGTCAAATGACTGTGATGAATTCATAGAGAAATATCACCTCTGCAGGTCCACTTCTATGAAGTGTTTTAGTGAATTTAGTAAAGGCACTAGCAAAGTTAGCAACTAGCTGGTGAACATAGTGGAACATTCAGCGGAGACCTGAATATTTGCCCCAGGAGTATGTGGAGACCAAAAGCATCCTCTGTTTCATTCAGAGATCAACATGAACCCTTACACCTAATTGAATGAAAGAACTACTTGCTGGGCTGTCATTGGTCAAATCAGTCTAATGACCTGGCAAATGAGGTCATTAGTCCTTATAGTTCACTGCTCGTCCATACAGTGTACATCTGTTTTTCACTAAAACCTAATCGTGCTGCCAGGCTAGCTTGCTGATTGCACAGTAATTTTCACTCAGTAGTGGAGACAGCCCTTTATCACTAGAAAACCCTGAGTGTTTGTTGCTTTCCATTACTGACTGAATGAATGAATAAGTGAATGAACTGGCCAAACGTGTAATGCAATAGTAAATTAAATAATTCAATATGGTGACAAGCCTTGATGAATGATAAATGAAATAATTAAGTCAACTAACTAATACAGAATACAGTTATTTAGACAGTGTAGTAACATATATCCATCCAGTGCTGCAGGTAATGGTCAACAACATACATTTTTGACAACAAATTAAAACCAACAGTTCACATTTCCTCTCCTAGGTTTTGAGGGACAACATGTTCTCCCAGTTCACCCAGCTGAAGAGCCTGGACCTCCAGCAGAATGACATCTCCATGGTAGAGGATGGAGCATTCAGCGGCCTCTCGCAGCTCACCACCCTACTTCTCCAGCACAACGGACTGAAAACAGCCTCCGAGGAGGTCCTGCTCCCTCTGTCCCGCCTTACCTACCTCCGTGTCTATGACAATCCCTGGAGCTGCCACTGCTCATTGGACAGCCTGGTCAGGGCCCTGCAGGTGCCTAGCAACCGCAACCTGGGCAACTACGCCAAGTGTGTGGAGCCCCAGTCGCTGAGGGGCCAAAAGCTGAAGAAGCTGAATGTGGACTTGTTGTGTGCGAATGACAACCAGGTGGACAGGAGGCCGGGACGCGAAGAGGGAGGGCAACCGAGGCCTCCACCATTCAAAGTGAAGCCAGAGGCCACGTCCATGTGCCACACCTACATGTTCCCTAAACCTCTGCTGGACTGCAGCAACAAAGGTGAGACTACTAGTGTCACAATAAAACTTAATGAAATGTTGTAAAACTTAAAATGTGAAGCACAGATGACATGCTTTGAATGCAGGATAGCTGATAACACACAACCTGTTTGACACATGACCAGTGTATAATACAGTTAAAGCAGTTGTAGGCATTTTTTATCATCTACAGTGGGTTCATCGTTAGTTCTCTGTTTTATGATCAAGGGACCAAAGGTCCAGTGTTTAGTGGCATCTCACAGTGTAGTTGCAGATTGCAACCCCCTTGCCCCACTTTCCACTTCCAAGAGTGTAGGAGAAACTACGGTGGCTGCCAAACTCCCTAAAAACATGTCTAAAGTCAGTGTTTGGTTTTTCCATTCTGGGCGGATTAATATTGCGGACTTTGTGGAAGAGCCTTAGATATAAAAGGCTCATTCCAAGGTATCAAGATCTTTTTTTTAATAAAGGTGATTACACACTAATATAAACATACTTATATTATATTCCATTCCTGCCATATTCTACCAATAGATCACTAAATCTTACACACTAGACCTTTAAATAGCAGCAAAACTAATATCATCGCTCTCAGCCTCAGCTGTGCTTAGCTGTACTGTAATGCTAAGTAGCCACTGTTAGCATGCTTACATTCTAAATGAACACATTCATCATTAGGTTTAGCATTGTTACCGTATGTTAACCTGCTAATGTTAGCAACACATGCACCAACTTTGAACCTCATTAGAAATCCAATAGCTACTATATCCACAGAAATTGATAAACTAAATACGAGCGGTGGCATAAACTCACACAAAGAATCAACCTATTTTTTTCTGCATTAGAAACGGGTCATTTGCAGCCAAACTCAAGTGAAATCAACCAGTCTTGTTGTGTGGTTAAGCTGAAGCCTTTCTCCTTATTCAGTGGTTATCATGTGTGACGAAAACTATTTTCCTGGCAAATATATCAATAACAAATAGACTACCCTGGCAGACGAGTGCCTCGTATAAAAGGCACGTTTTTTAGGTTTGCTCAGCTCTCAGTAGAGTCGTGCTTGCTTGTCCAGTGAAATTGGGCACAAGTTTGCTGTTGTTTTGGTTAAATCCAGGCTGAGCAAATAGAGTTGTGTTTGCATTATTAAGTCTGCCATGTGGGGTGTCTGAACCTCAATGGGGAAGGGGGAGGGAGCAGGTTTGGGGCTGGTTGTGGTCTGGTCTTTCAAACTCTTGCTTTTTCCCGCAAATTAGCGCACAGCAGCTTTTGGTTAAAGGTCAGGGTAAAAAGTTGGGGCTTTTGTGCATGGAGCATTGGCATTTTGATGAGTTGTATTGTGGTGTATTTATGTTCTTGTGTGGTCTATTGTGGTGTTCAGTGCTTGGAAACAGCACCATCTCTGTTGTATTATTTTCTAATTTGAATCATGCATTCATTCATTTTATGCAGATTTTAGAAGGCACTAATAACATCCAGCATCTCAATCTGTTTAAGTTTTCAGTTTTAATACTGAGTCAGCATGGGTACAGTGCTGCAGAAAATATGCAAACAGACAGGCATCGGTCTAGAGAAGGGAAAGCAAGCTTCTCCAACTTTCTTTCAGCTCCTTCAGCTTTGACATCTGGTTCTCTCTCTGTAAAAATGCCACTGAGGCTGCTATCAGAGGCTGTAACTTCTCCAGTGCACCATAAAAAATGTGTTTCAGTGTTGCTTTTCAAAGACAGACTGGAGGCAGGGATGACAATTTCTGAATTTGTGCCGACAGATCACTTTTTGTTACTTTTATGTGGGCTCTCTATTTTCGGTTGCTCTCTCATCTTCTCCCTTTTCTCTCTGTCCAGCAAACCCCCTTTATCTCATTCTTCTTCAAAGCACTAAAACATGACTCCTCTCACACCCAAATTGCATCCACTGTCAACACACTGAACTGAAAGATTGTCTGTGTTCATGTTTCAGACCAAAGTGAGGCCCCAATTTAAATGAGCAATTGAATTCATCTATAAATGGAGAGCTTATGTCCTTCTCAGAAAGCAATCTTTCACAAAGCACCCACAAGCCAAAACCACACAATGCAGCATCTGTGTTTTGTAAATGCTTGAGGACACTTTTTGCATATTTTCCTAATTTTTTTTCTACAGTAGGACTTTTGAATCGATTCATTATCTGAACCACTGTAAGGTTTCTCTGTTTTTCTCACAGGCTGATTCCCACATCCATCTTTCCACATCCCTTCCTCTTCTTTATGCCCCGTAATAACTCTACATCCTGCCTCCTTCCAAACCAAGCCCCACCGCGAAAGCGATATGTGATGTGTGAATGTTGCTTAATATACTACAGCTGTTGTGAATGACATTCAATACATGGTTTTTGTGCTTTTGATTTGCAAGGACTCCCATATAGTTGTACTGAAAGATTATACCAGTCGAGGTTTGCACTCTTTTCATTTAGTTGTTTTCACTCTGCTGCATTCCAACACCAATGTTTTCATTAGCTGCATTGGTTGTATTAGCTGTCAATCAGTGTAAAATCTAATAACAGGTACATTATATCATTGCACATGATGTTTTCTCCTTGCCTTTTGTCTGTTTAAGAATCTAAACACTTACAGATGCTGGCAAAGTTTGGTATACTGTGGTATTATATAGCCTTGAAAACTTTGGGTTAACTAATACAATATGATATCCACACGCATATTGAATAGCATTCTTTCAGTGAAATTGTATTGTTAAATATTTAATATGGAGTTGAATGACTTTACCATGAGTGAGGAGTAGCTTTTGAGAGCATCATTCATCTCTCCATCTTCTATAATACAATGTCTCTCCATCCCACGGGGACGTTGTTAGGGGGCCACAGGGCAAAAAATGTGCTGTTGGCTCCTAGTGGTACCCCAACTTCTACCCTCTGTGCCTATTTTATGTACTGCAGGGCTGGAATAGTTTTTTTCCCCCTTATAAACAAACAAAAGTTATACTTACATTCAGTGCATCTTACCAAAATGCAAAATTGCTGAATGGATTTCTAAATATGGGCAAGTTTTCTGTCATATATGGGAATGGAAAACAAGCAGGGAGTGAGAATTCGAAAAAAAAAAAAAGAGTGGAAACATACTCTGATGTTTAATTCTCCAAACCCTATATTTTCCTCTTCTCTATCTCTTTCTCTCCTGTCTCCATGTTTCCCTCACTCTGGTTTGAAGGCTGTTTCTCTGAGGTGAACCACAGCAGATTTCAGGCTCCATGGTCCAATCTCACTGGAGATCAATGGTATACACAGTGGTTAGAGTTAATATGGGAGCTCTTAAGGCTGTGTTTCTCAAGAAAGAAAAGAAGGGAGTAAATCTGTGGAAATATCAAAAGGTGCCTTCAAATTACTTCTGTTTAAGTCCCTTTTGCACAGTGGAGACATTGTTGAACTCTAAATTTACCCTGGAATAATACTATTTTTATACTCTAATACCTCTAATTTTTTTAATGCAGCGGGGGCCAACTCATTGCCACAATGTAATTATAGCATAATATTTTCAATTTGGTTGTGATATTTTTACTACATCCAACGTGGACCATATACAACATTAAACATAAATGTTAACATTTTATGTATTAGCTTAAAACTAAGTTTCATGAATCTCTTGCTAGCCATACCAAGAAAGTAACCTGAGCATAGAAAAGGTTTAGCATACAAAAATAATGTTTGCATATGAAATCACTGAATAAAGCCCAATTATTATTATTATTTATTATTAAGACACTAGACATATGCCAGGTGTTTTACATTAATGCAAAACCAACTTTTCATATTAATCTCCCTATGAGCTTTTAGTCATTCCAGTTGTTTTTTTTTCACACACATCTCATGAAGTTGCTTAGAAACCCATCTAAAGGGTGGTATTGATTGTTTTGGCCTAGTTCTAGACTCTGCCTTCAAGACTGTGCTCAAAGGTCAAGAAATCATTGGTTTCAGAAGTAACATAAATCCTCCATATTAACTTCTCGCCGTTTGAGAGAGGAAACAGAAAAGTGACTAATATGGTATATGGTGAGTTGGCTGCTTCCCAGTCACACACACACCCACACTTATGATATTATGTCAGGGTCTCCGTGGACTGCCTGGATCATAGAACGCGGGATTTAGTCAGCATAAAAAATGAATCTTCCATACTGTCATTTGAGCGAGAGGCAGAGGTACAGAGCATGCATGAGAAAAGAGGACAGTATCAAACATCACTCTCTACTAACTGCAGGATTTAGCTGCAGACTTTGCCAGAGGTTTTCCTGCAGTAGTTTGAAGGTCCTGTCTGCAATGGGAACTGTACAACTTCTGGGGTTCAGAGTTTCCCAAAGGAATTTTTCACACAGAGGTGAAAAGGTCACTGAAACATTGTAATACACCATGGTATCCTAAAACTATCACAGAAACTAATTGTTATGATATAACTGTGAACAAGTTGGAAATTACCTCCACTGTTAAATAGTCAGGATTTGGATGGATATACCTTGGATGACAATAGATTGATTATATTTTGATTATTTTCTTTATTTTGTTATTCCCAAGATACCGTTGTCATTGTGATGTGGGCAAAAAGAGGCAATTGCTGTTCTCAGTCCCAAGGCAGACTCTGGATTTGTTCATTATGATCTACAAGTATGGAGTTTTACTAGTTTTTACTTAACAAATATGTACCTTCTTGTACAGCCACATCAAAGTCTGCTTACAGGTCCTAATGCATTGGTAAAAAGTAGTTGCATAAAGTATTTTTACTACAAAAGCCGCTAGTAGCACAACACGCCCAAATCTCTGATCATGCTGTCAGATTTTTGGTTTTGACATGTAATACTGTACCACCATAGTGCCAAGCGAGGATCTTGTATACTCTCTAGGACACAAAGTAGTTTTCATGCACAGCCGTTTGGAAAGAAAGTCAGTCTAATACAGAAACCTATACTGTTCTGTTGTCACTCTGAGTTAAAGCATTAAGGCAATAAACCTTTTAAAAATGTAGTATGACTCAAACCATCATTGCAAGGGAGGACATGACTACAGGCACTAATCCTTTCGTTGTAATCGTGATATCCTATAAACAGAGTTGTCAGCGTGTTTAGAAAAGGCTTCACCTGTGCCTCTATATATTTGGTCTGAATGATGACAGAGAGTTATGTATATTACATAAAGTCCAAACATGATCTGCATTGCAAAATCCAGAGCCTGGAAGCAGAGGGGGCAATTATGGTGGATGCTGACAGGTTGCACCCTTGAAGGTGCTAATGATATAAAAGATCCAAACTCAGTTCAAGTTGTTTCTGCAGCCTGGGTGTGAGGATAATTAGTTGTGTAGTTAAAAATATTTAACAGAATATTCTCAACACGTTTCCTAAGGCTGCATGTTAACTAAAATAACTCTACTATACTTCCTCCGCTACCATTATACCTCTACTCTGTAAGGTCATAATGAATGCAGTGAGGTGCAAGTGACCTCACATGAAATATGTTTAAAGTTCGAAAGGTAATGTTAAATATGAACTACTTTATTGCTACCTAATTCTATGCAGCACATCTAGAGAAGAAAACACGTCAAGAAACCATTCCCCCTGTCAAGCCTGGGGCTTAGGTCCAAACCCCAAAAATTCACTGCATTATGCACAGTTGACCCAAGAGTAATCATGTCAACACTGTAAAAAATTAACTGCTTCCCTTTCTACTGTCTAAACAGGATGAAATATGCATTGCACCACCTGCTCCAAACGGAATCAGTATTGATGCACAAATGAAGTATATCCTCCAGATGTAGCTGTGTACTTCACCTTTTGCAAAAATGAGCATAATAATATAACAGCTGACATTTTACAGAATATATGGTGAAGAAAGCTTTTTTCCTTAACACTATGTGCACATATAATTCATCAGCAATGCTAACCCATACACTCTGGAGTAGTATATGTAGATAAATGTTCAATTAATGTTCTGCACTGCTACTAAATCATGGAAATAGCTTAGTTCTATCTCTTCAAACTATGTAAATACTGCTGTACCTTTACTGCAATGCGTTATAGTAATGCACGGACTACATGTGTTTAACTTATAGTGGAACCTCCATAGGATGTATTGTTGCAGAAAGTAATTCAAACTCGGCAGCTTTGACATAAAGCAGGTGCTATAGTTTAGACTCCACAGGATAGATAGAGGAAATCACTCAGAAATTTAACAGCCAATGGCCCGAACTAAATTCAAAGCAGAGTTGTTGTCAGTGAAAACATTTCCAAAAAGGGAGAGAATTTCTCAGGTAGTACCAAGAGGGACAGATATTCATGTGTTTCCCCGAAATAATGACTCAAGCAGATTCAGCATTAAACCCAGTCCAAACCCAGTTATGAATGAATGACTTTCCTGACATGTTCCCCCTCTGTCTCCTTCTCTCTGTGTTTTTTCTTCATTCAGCTGTTTGCTCTGAGGAGGCACAGATGTTAAAGTAGGAAAAGAGCCTTTGCACTTTATCTAAAAGATTTGCTCCATTAAAAATCACAAGATATCCCAAAGGCTCCTGATAAAAATGGCTGACTTCCTGAAAACACTTGGAAGCAATGCTAAAAGAGCCAGGGACACGTAACATAGCAAATCAAGTTAATAAGCGAGATAACAGCTCTGTTTCCATAATTGGCCCAACTTTTTTTTTCTTATACCCAGAGGAAAACAGGTCCTACTGGTCACATACATGACTCATCCAGTCTCAGCCTGCTGTCACCACTGAATACACAGTGTATTATCTTCATTCACTGTAAAACGCAGACAACAGATGCATCTCTCCTGGACCGTGAGGGTTTGTTTTTTGGCTCTAAAAGGTCAAAGTCTCATTTCTCACAAGTGAGCCTGGGAATTTGAGTCTGATGCGTAAGAGTGCCAGCATTTTTCCAGCTTTTTCTAATCTGAAAATCTGCTTGGACAAAGTTGCAGGCACATGTACACCTAAGGCAATGTGGGATTCCCTTTAGACTTCACTGCAGAAGACTGATAGCTTGTGGAACTTAAGCATTTCTGCCTTTGTAAATGTCTCTGCCTGCTGCACACTCAACAACCATCAGTGCTTCACATCACTGAACAATAATAATTACATTTCCTGAGTGCATCGGCTACATCTGTGCGCATGCTGTATGCGTCTGTGTGTATTTATATTTTCTTAGAGTCACTGAGGATTTATGACACCATGCCTCCATGATAACCAGCTACAACATCTGTGGCAGTAAAGTGTGTTCATAAAGACTGCAACATCTGCACCGTAAAAGTGTCCATAAGCATTCTTCTGACCAAATTATACAGTCCATGTAAATAAATACATGCAGGAAACTAGTCCACAGGCATGACTGCCGCATGCATATCGTACACATTTTTTTTCTCTACAAAATAAAGCAGTCATTTTATATCAAAATAAACATAGTTTGATTAGATCTCAGTTAGTATTCACTGCCTAAACATACTTGTGTTTCCGCTCATCTGCAACCATTTTGCAAACTGCTTTAAAAACACCCCTGTTCATTTTGATGATACAGGTTGCAGGGGCCACCTACTCAGTTTTAAACAGAAAAACATGATGATTGGCACAACAGATATGATGCCAATTTAAACGCGGTTGATTGTACAGACACTGACAGGTGAATCAAGTTTAGTGACTGTGTGGGAACCACAAAACCAATTCAGATTCCATTAAAAGCTTTTTTTGACTTCAGGAGGCTTCTTAACTCCCAAAAGTAGAACTTGTGCAATCAGGGTCTTAACATGAATCTGGATCTATTTATTGTCTGTGAAAAAGCTCCACATTTTTAGATTCTAGTTCAAGCTTTATTGTTTCTAGCTTTGGTACAAAAATGTGTTGACAGTGACAAATCTTTATTTTAACTGTCCCAACATTGCAGGGATATTGCATCTGTAAAATGTGCCTCAGCGTGGGACTTTGATTTAAAACTCCAGAGAGGATCTGTTATCGAAATGGGAATATGTGGGAATCACTGTTTCGTACATTAGACACTCTTACATCGGGGGGGATGTGTGTGTGAGGCTTGAAACACTGAAAGAAAGCAAAAACACTCACTGGCACAGAAGTGAAACATGGTTACACATGCTGTCACACTTGACTCCATCTTGAAAGGTTCAATGTTGCACACAACCCACACAACATCTTGAAAATGTATAAGGATGCATACAGATTGGATTTCCAGCTTTCCTGATGATTTGGGGGATTTGCGCTTTGTATTCTGATTTAATTTGTTGTCCACATCTTCCTCAATCCTGTAAACATATCAACATGAATACAGGAATGAATCTTGATTTGTTTTCTGTGTGCATTATTCTCTCCATTTGAACCTATGTTTTTTTGTCTTTCCGTCTTTGCAGATCTGAATAACATCCCATCTGACCTACCATCTGACATAGTGAAGATGGATCTGTCCAGTAACAGCATCAAACATCTCAGGCCCAAACAGTTCCTGCTGTCCAAAGACCTCAAGCTGCTCAACCTCAGCAGCAACAGCCTGCACCATATAGACACAGGTAACACGACAGCCCCACCAACCTCACACACACTTGAGTACAGACATCTCAGCACTAAATTACATTATACAATAGCCACAGAGATACTTGTTTGGCTGGCAAGTGGGTAAGGGTAAGTCATATTTAATGAGTAATTTTGCTTCTTATACATAACATATTAATTCTTTCCGATTAAATCAACCTAACAGTGGGTTAACTAGTGGTTCCCAACCTGGGGGTCAAGGCATTGAATAAGACCTGAAATAATTATTAGAAAAGGTGTGTACATGCATCAATACAGTAGGAACCTTAAATGTATGAAGCCACAATCACAGTTACAAAGATTAGCAATGCAACCTTTTGAGCATGCACACACTAGAGCTGCAACGATTAGTTGATTAATCGATTAGTTGTTAACTATTAAATTAATCGCCAGCTATTTCATTTTTTAAGAAAAAAAATCCCAATTCTCTGATTTTAGCCTCTCAAATGTAAATATTTTTTGGTTTCTTTAGTCCTCCTGGGTTGTGACAGCAACACAAGTTTAGATAAGTTGCCAAATGAACTAAATTTTATTGAAGCAGAATATCTGTTCTAAATACTAATTCTGCCTCAGCATTAGAGGAACACCATTAAAAAAGTGCAGACTCATTACTCTCTCTAGGCTAATGATGTCTGGGCTCATGTCTTCCTGCCCAGGAGGGAAATCCTTTTAAAGACCTTGTAGTTTTTTTCATTACCCTGCAACACATGTAAACAATCTATCTCTGTAGCTGGCTCCAGTGCGTCCAAGACTATTTAGAAACTGGAGAATACGTTCTGTGTAATTCCGAGAGCTTGTGATAGCCATTGACATATGGCTTCAATCTCGGTTACTCCTTCTAATCATGTTCACATTTGGGGTAAAATAAAATGAGTTTAGAATTATTTTCAAGAAGTTGTTCAATTCTGCTTTTCATGTGGATGATGACCACAGAGAGAGAAAAGAACCCGAATGAAAAGGCATGAAAGCTCTGGCACACTTGGATTATTTACTATTGTCTTTCATTGTTTGTTTTGGCTAATTTTTTGTGCCAAATTGTTGTGGTTTTTCCTCACAGGACCAACCCGAAAATAGAAAAAAAAAACAGTAATTTAGTCATAGGAAAGTACAGTTTATTAGAAGGTCAATTTAGCCTCCGATATCCTATGACTAATAACTAGACACTTTAGGAATTGTCACAATGTGGGGACCCCACCCATCTGGAACTCCAAACTCAAAACAAAAAATATTTCTTAATACTCGTCAAGTCCCTGTAGAAGATCCCTCTTGCCTGCATTACTTTTGTGTTACTGTAAGTGAAGTAACAACGAAGCAGCACACAAGTATGTAATAGTGGGGTGTATGTAATAGTGATATCTGTAGTTATGGTGACTATAGACTTTGAAATTGTGTTTATTTGTTATGGAGACTTGTTGCCAAGATCAGAGTGGGGCAAGCTTGGGGGGTAAATCCTAAATGTATCACCTCTGCTGAGGTTGTATGAGGGCTGTGTTTCCATGCCAATCTGTCTGTTAGCCTGAAGAATGTTAATGCATGTACACTGAAGCTGGAAAAATTGATGACAGGGTTTAAAGCCTCAGTGGGTGTTACGTTGTATGGATCTGCAACGGTGGCAGAAGTGCTGATTAAAATACTTAGAGATTAGGGTGTTATGTAGAGCTCTTTGCTTCGCATTTATTCCATGACAAAAGATTTACTGTCTCCAAGGATGGTGAGATAAGGATGCTTTAAAACAAAGAACAGATGGAACAACAACTATGGAAGAGTTGTCACTTAAACTAGCTAAAGTATGGTCATTAAAGGAATAGTTTGATGCTTTGGGAATGGCAAGTTTATTCGCTTTTTGGCAGAGAGCTGGATCAGAAGATTGATACCACTTGCTAAGTATGAAGCTACAGCCCGCAGCTGCTTAGCATAGCATAAAAGCTCACTTATTAACATGTTATATCTCATTATCTCTGAGTTGTTGCTAGGCATCCAGAATTGATTCCAGGAAGTTACTTCTCAGAACCAGACCTCTCATGAACAGCACATTTTTAGCTTACAGTTACATGTTTTATGTACGGTATTAAACAAACCAGATTATATAATATTTGTGATCTTAAGAAGTTCCGGTTGGTGGATTTTGTTGCAGTTTGAAAGAGCCAGGCTAGTTGTTAGCCTTGGTTTTTAAGTCTTTGTGCTAAGCAAATGTAGCTTAGCACAAAAATGTATATTTAGCAGATGTGAGAGTGGTTTCAATATTCTCAGTTTACTCGTAGACCTTTCTTAAAATACTCAATGATGCCTGCAAAGTGAATATAATTAACAGAGTGAATATTGCTTCACTTATTTTCATTGCTTGGGAAAATGTCATGAAAGTAGAGCACACTGGGCTTCCTGTGGCCATAGTGACTCAAAAAAAACCTAATGAACGGTAGCCGATTCGGGAAACTAAGTCTCTCGAGTCAAGAGATAAGACATGGGAGGGGGAGGTGAAATAGTCCCTTCATTCCTTTTTTCCTTCCTCAGCTATAGTTCCCTCTATCTGTGTCATCTTTAGGATTGACGGATGAGATTGCAGAAACAGAAACTTATGTTCCAATTATTGAAAATGGTTTTCAGAAGGAGTTTAGCCCTCAGTGTCCATTTTTCTTACAGATCTGTCTCAGTGATGTCTTTATTCTCCCTCTCATTTGCCTCCCCTCCTCTCTTCTTGCTAGGTCCAAGGCTAGTGGACAGTGTGAGACAGTCTCCATTGTCACATTACACAGACTGTCACAATGTCTGGAACCATTTAGGGACCTCAACAGGTACCTTATACTCAAGTTAGGCAGATTTTGGTGATTGAGAGGTCTGACGATTCACATCCATTTAAGTGGAGATGAAAGAGACAGCTAGATAAGGCTTATGTCTTATTATCAAAATGACGACAATTCTGGTCAAGTGGTCTAGATTTCTTCCCCCGCAATCTTTCAAAGTTTCGACACAGTTCAGACAACAAAAGTGTTTGTTCATTTTCAGTGCGAACACACGCCATAACCACGCGCTCCTGCTGTCCACTGAAAATACTGAAACTGCAATTTTGGTGATTATCATGTTAAATTATGTGCTACAAAAATATGTATTTATGTGGGTTTAAATAAACCACACAGGCAACCAAACAGGGAGTGTCCATGGAGACAGGGTTTAAGTATTCAGACAGCAGTATGAGATGCCAGCTTAGATTGCTCTACTTTTTTTCCTCTCTCAGCTGCATTTGCAGGCCTGCTGTACCTCCGTGAGCTCGACCTGTCCAACAACAGCCTCCATTACTTCCAGTACGGTGTGCTGGAGGACCTCTACTTCCTACGGAAGCTTTCGCTGGAGAACAACCCCTGGATCTGCGACTACAACATCCACTACCTAATCTACTGGCTCAAGCACCACCCTGGCGTCTTCTACACTGGCCTGATCTGCTCCGAGCCGCAGGAGTTCAGGGGCTGGCGCGTCGAAGATTACGTCAAGACCTACAACGGGGAATGTCCCAAGGATAAACAAACTGGAGGGATGGATACGGGACAGGGAGGACAAGGGGGGACAGACAATGATGCTCAGGAGGTAGTGGGGGAGACGAGCGAGAGGCAGGGCGAGCGCCTGCCTCAGCCTCTGAAAGAGAAGAAGCCCAACAGGTTTGAGATCATCAGGCTGAGTTAGAATGGAGGTGGATCAGCGGACTGGTGTGGTTTAGTTTGGAGTGAGCGAGTCTGTGGACAGGCTGAAGAATGGATTAATAAAGGTAGACTCAATGATTTGATTTGACATGTAAAAGTACAATTCTGGAATAAACTCCATTATTTGTCCTTAATATGTCTTTTTAATAATTAACATTTTCCATCTTAGGTGGATAACAGAAAAGCTTTTTTTTAGACATTCAGATTTTCTTAAAAGGTTAATTGCAATGTCATTGCTAAGTTTACCTTTAAAAAAAGATTTAGGAGATGCAATCTGAGCTTTCTTTTTTCATCTTTTTAGCAGAACATTCCCAGACCAGTCTGTATCAGAGCTAATAACCCCAAAAACGTCTCTTAGAATTTTCCACACAATAAACTGCAGGTGCTCTCTTATTTCTGTTGATACTGAGTTCAGGATATACTTTTTTTTTTTTTTAAGTAGTGTTTGGTCTTTTTTTGTACTAATTAATGTCTGTTTTCTGGAAATAAAATTGGGTTTATTTTTTCTGAAAATGTATTTTTTTTGTGTCTGGATAGACACACTGAACTCGTTTACCTGCAGTTAGCCACCAAATATGACGGGAAGCAGATGCATTGCGTCATACACTTACTGTTTCAATTAGTACGTTTCCAGATACACTATACTGGGAATCTGCCAAGTGCATCATGACTGATAATTATTGGTTAACGGTGCCAAATAATAAAGATGTCCTGATATCAGACTATAACAGTGATGATGATGGAAACTTTGAGTCTTTCACCACTGAGAGTTTTTGTTTTGTTTTGTTTGGGTTTTTTTTTGCATTTGGCAACCAAATCAAGGAACTTCCTTCTGAAAACTGCCCAGGTTACATTTCAGCAGATGAAAGGCATTGCATACACCCAAGAAACAGACTTATGTAAATGATGTTGCTTTTTTTTTTGGAAGCCAAAAGGTGGGAAACACGGTCTTCACTGACTGTCAACTAGCGCCACCCAGTGTGCTTGAGACCAACACACAACAGCAGACTTCATGCAGATTCTCATTCTTAGTTATGGGTATGGGTATGTCATATTCTTTTGTTATATTTAAAAACAGGATAACTAATTTCCTCCTGTCAAGGAAGGACTAAAACAGACCAGATTATTTAATTTAGCTTAACTTTTTGTTGCTCAAATCAAGTAAGTAAATACAAATGAATAAAATGATTTTTATAGTCATAGATGGATCATTTATTGCTTGTCAGCAGGATTTTCATTTTAAATAAAAGGACAACTCTACACCTGGATTGTTCCCATGATTTCTCCACTCATAACTAAACCAACAAACATTAAGGCAGATTAACTGTATCAGTGTAAGAAAGTAACAGTCAAGTCCAGCTACATGACTTCCAGGTTGGTGTTTAAACAAGGCCTGCCAACTTGGCATTGGACACACAGAGAGATTACATCCTGGATGTAAGCCTTGTCAGCTCAATTACTTTAGTTTGACTGTTGTGTTGGCAGGAAGTCATCTTGGCAAAGTTCAGCTTTAAAGGTGATTTGACATTTTTCCTTTTTACAGGGGTGCAAGTAAACGTAGCTAATTGTTTCTTAGTGCACTCACAGATGTTTTAAATCACCTTGGTATTCATTGTCTACGGCAATGAGCAACCAACCTGCAGTTGTAGATTATGTGTAACAGCACAGTGCCCTCTAGTGTTCACATTGATGCTTTGAAGGCCCAACAATTTTAGACACTTTATGGTGATTTTCCCTCGATTTTTCACCCATTAGTATACATCAGCCTCCACTAAACCCTTGTTTTGCTCCGAAAGTCAAACATTGTCCTGCTTTATTGTGTCAATTAATCACAGAAGTTGAAAGAATAAAATTAGAACACATTCACAGCCTTTTAGAGACGTGTATGACAATGCAAGGCATCATTATGTATGTGAAAAGAGAAAGTCAAATATAAATTCACAGTCTTCTGGCTTGCGGCAGGTTCTCCAGAACATTTTCATCAGCGGAGGATCACAGCTCGTCATAGAGGCACCGCAAGAGGTCACTTGGGTGAAATACTAAAGTAGTCTTTCCAGCTTTTCAAAAGTTTGATCGGCAGAGTGAAGCATAAAGACAGCATTTTGACAAAATACAGCACAAAGATGTCAAGGACAACGCTGAGGCCTGTTGAGAATGCTTGTAATGCTTAAATTTTGTGGTAACAAATCACTGCATTGATGCTTTAGTTTTTAAACTCAGATTTAAAAAAACAAAAACTAGAATAGTGACCGTATTTACTACAGCATTTGGTGCCAATAATATTACATCAAATCAGGAAGAAAAGTCCAGCTATAGTTGATATCAGATTGGCTTACTGTAACTTTACCCAACACTGATCACAGCCATCATCACTGTCTCTTATTCCATTATTAAACATGCCTGGTTTGATGTTCTAGTCCTTGTAGCACCAGCTGAACAACTGTCACAGGTAAGGCACAGAAAAGTACACTAAATTAAGTTTTTCAATACTAAAATTTCCTCAATGCAAAGACTTGTGGTCCTTAAGGTCTTGCCAGCCATTTTCCACATCCATGCATCTTTGGATCCTCTTCTCCAACATTCATGATGAAAAGTGCCTTTCACCTTCTTCCTCATCCACCGTCAACTCCAACATCAGTCACCTCTAATCTCCCCTGTCCCATCCACGTTTAAATCAGCAGCATGTCTTCTTCTCTGGTGGCGTGTAGGCACTTGCGATGCCATCAACCGGCCGAGAGTTAGCCCGGAGGAGAGCTCGAGGTGTGTTGTTGCTCTCCAAGTCTCCCTGTTGGACGTTAAGGCCGTTGCGAGCCAGCAGCTCCCTGGCCATCATCATGAAGGCTTCTTCCACGTTCTGGCTCTCCTGGACGCAGAGAAGGAGAACTTTACATAACAATTTTAACCAACTTCAAAACCTCTCATTTGTGTTTTATATGTACGCACATTACCTTTGCAGATGTTTCTAGAGCAGCTAGTATGCCTGCCTCCTTTGCCTGGTTGCAGGCTTCCTCAAACGGAACCTGACGTTCCTGCTCCAGGTCACATTTGTTACCTAGATGGAGACCGTAGAGATGTAAATACAAAAGCTCAAGATCACCTTAAATATCCAACAGGAGACTGTATTGCCAAAGTTCTGTTAATAGTATTGTCAGTGCACCTAATTTACATGCTAAGACCAACATGTCAACACTCTTAAGTGTACAAACAGTCCTGTAAGTACAACTGCAAACACAAGTTTTAAAGTGTAACACTAACAGCCATTTGTTTGAAGTCATTTTAAGGAAATAGAAGTGATCCAGTGAATTGATGCCTTTCCCACACAAAATATAAAGTACCATAGCTGAGTATTACCATCCCTTGCAGCATAGTATACTCAAAATATAGATTTCTCTGACATTAGGCTCTAAAGCTTTGCTGCAAAACAATGCCACCTCTGTTAATAAAAGCATTTAAAAAGCCTCACTGAGGCACTAAAATTTAAATTATCACCTTAAACAACCTTCAGGGTTTACTCAAGTGACAACTGAGACAGGCATATGCAATATACATCAGTTTCATCAGCTGAGTTACATCAACACAGTAACTATTTAATACATCATTTTTGGAGTTTATGACAACCAGTTCATTACAGCAACAGCAAAAACCCCAGCCCCTTATTCCAGGGCTATTGCTCTATAAAAAACATTATGTTCTTAAATGTTTCTGTTATTTTGTCCACCCTTCAAAAGATCACACACAAATGCTGTATTCATGCAATCACATGTCACAGTCACAACCACACTCACCTATGAGAACCAGCACTACATTAGTCGCTCCGTAGAGCTCCACCTCCTTGATCCAGTGAGCCACTGAGTCAAAGGTGGGACGTCGTGTGATGTCATAGGCAATGATGGCGCCGTGAGCGCTGCGATAGTAGCTCTGGGTGATCGTACGAAACCTCTCCTGACCTGCCGTGTCCCACACCTGCATCTGTTCCACACACATAATCAAGAACAAGGAATCAGCTCTAATGTGGAAGAAATACACAAGACTGGAGGTGTGGCTGATATGCACATAAACAACAAAATGAAAAATCACACACCTACACACACCCACAGTCACACCACACACACACACACACACACACACACACACACACAGGTCCTTGGCCTCTGCAGGATACTCCCTGAGCATCTGACAGACCATGTTAACGTGGTAACAGCTGTCATAACAACCAATCCAGACTCACTTGCTCAATTTGTATGTGTTGATGTCTACTGTTGCTATCTGGATAAGTTTAATAGAACAGATCAAACACATTTATTACTTTTTATTAATGAAATAAAAGCGCACATCTTTACATTTCTGAATATAAACCTGTAAAAATAACGCTGACCATATAACATTATATATGCCTGTAAAAAGGCATATTCCTGCTTAATGACTCCCTCTTTCTGTAGAAGTTGTAAAAATAAAGAAAGCGTTTTAACAAGAAATAACCTGCTTATAAGGTTTTCCAAATACACGTCTGCTTTACCTTAATTCAAGTAACACAGCTGTAATTTAACTGAATAAAAGATGATGCATTGTTGTAACAAACTCAGGTATAATACATGTTTATTAGTTGATAACTATAATGACAACCAAAGCCAAACAGACAAAAGAAAAACAAGAACTTAGCTTCATTAAAACAAGGAAGAGACATAAAACAACACAGCTACAGCTGCTGATCACCTAACATACAAAAGTGACATATACATAAGATGGAGTGGCTCATCTGAATACGGTCTCAGGCCTAAATCTTCTGTGGGGTTTGAGTAAACACAGAAGCAGCAGCTGTTATTACGAAAAAAATATTTCTGTTACTTTCAAACTTATGGTGACCATATGTTACTGATTCATAAAAACACACGGAATAAATGAACGAATGCTGACATCCTCTTCACTGGTGATACTCTGGGATGGGGCTAAGCATGGACACCAGCCATCTTACTTAAACATAAATTCATGTTTACATAAATTAGCAGTGGTAACCTTTGGCATCCTAGTTATTTTAACCATTAATAGTTAGGGATTTGTTTAAAGTTCAGTTGATGACATGTTTGTTGAAATGCCAGGTTTTTTTTTTTTAACTGGCTTGTCCACAGAACAATACAGTTGGTGTAGGTGTTTTTGTGTGTGTATATTGACAGACTGTACTGTCCCTCCTGGCTATGACAAATCCAGATAATCCCTGTGAGATAGTAACAAAAAGAGACACTTTAAAAAAAGGTTGTAAAGTTTGAAATATCAATGCAGAAAAAATACTCTTTCCCTCACCTCATACCTGTCAGTATTAGTAGGAGAGTACATATATGTGTGACCTATTGATCGAAACTGATAATCAGTTTGCACATAAGTTTATTAATGATGATGGAAAATGTGTAAGCCGCCATTTAACTGAATGAACACAGGCTTTATTATTTTCTCAGGTAACTGACTTTTGATGCATGCGGAACCAATAACTGTCCACCCTAAAGCATTTAGTTCCCTTTCCAGCTCAGTGACAGGGCAGAAAAGTCATTCCAGGTTTATTTTTGTCTGCACAAAGGCTAGAGTAGAGTAGAGAAACCTGTAGGACAGGTCCTTCATGTGAGCAGCCGGTCTGACTTGTTTGGGACTCTAACTGACACTGCAACCAAAGGACACTTCTCACTGTGGCGTTATTTACCCCCAAACCTAGAAAAGTCCATCACATCTGAGTGGCCCTTCGGAGTTGCAATTTATGCCATACTTGTCAGTTAAATATGTTACCAAAAAGGCCTGTAACCATACTGGGCAGCCTGTCATTGTCAGAGCCAGCTGACTCCACAACACCCATGATGAGGATCAGGGCATTTAGAAGGCATTACTGGAGCATACGAGGTCACCAAGCAAAAAGGAAGACTTTTAAAAACATTAACATTACTCATTAAATTACTGACCTGGACCCAGATTGAGGATGGGTGGATTAACTAATTAAAAATAATGAATTTATTTAAGCTTTTGCTAAAATCGACACTTATTATGAGATGAGATGAAACCCAAGGATTGAACCGCCTCCAACCACTGTCCAAAGAATCCCACAAATGTATAAGTGTATAACATTTCATACCTTCATAATGTAAGACTTTTTAATAACTTCTTAGGCCCTTTAGGAAACTGCATTCAATACTTAAGCTCAAGACTTGAAGATTCATCATCTTCAAGTCTTGAGCTTTGCAGTACTTACATCTTATAATCCTTCTTTATTCCTTTATAATGCCAAATCTGCACTTTATTCTACATTTTTGACAGTACTTTTCAGTCTATGAATTCTGTAACTCTTGATAGCTGTTTTATATACTCTGTTAGTGACTTCTGTTAATCACGTAAAGGTCTGCATGTTGGGGATCTGATGTTCTGTACTGACACCACCTGAAGACATGCATACCCTAAAAGACTCCAAATGGTCCACTGCGCACACACACACACACAGACTGTCATACACACCACACTAACCTTAACTTTCTTCCCCTCTATGTCCACGGTTCGTACACTGAAATCCACTCCGATGGTGTTCTGCTGTTTCTCTGAGAAAATCCCAGACTTGAAATTCTGAACCACGCAGGTCTTCCCTACGTTAGAGTCTCCGATCAGGATGATCTTAAACAGGAAATCAAAAGAGTCATCATGTTCAGGTCCTGGGGTCTGCATGGTGGAGGCAGAGTAGAGTCTTTTTCTGTGGATGTGAATGTGAGAGAATGGAGGAAATGTACTGTAGATCACTTGGAATGCTTGGACTTTGAGGCCAAGAGATGCTGGGGTTATCTTTATGCTTGAATAAAGGCTGAGTCATAGGAAAGAAAATGGATCCTAAAATGCTATTATGTTCAGGAGTTTCATCCAAAAAACAAACAAAAACTACGAACCCCCCCCCCAAAACTGCAATCTTATTCCACAGTTTCTCCTTCCAGTGAAAGCTGTCTCCAGGCTAGAATTGGTCCACATGTAACCTGTAAAACCAGTTTACAGTTGAGAGAAAGTTTGTTTGCCAGGGAGTAAAATGGTATTCTTCAACAGTCAAAGATTATACTTAGATCATACACATTGTAAATTATGAGGCACACAAGCAACAAGATGGAAGAATCAACTGTGCCTGTTTTCTTTATAATAATTCTGCATTCTCTCTGTCTTGTGTCTCCAGCCAGCTCCGCCTGTCTCTCCCCCTCTTGTGCTCTTTCAGCAAGGACAAAACTGCCTCAGTCTCGGCTGCTCCTTTCAGCTCCTTCTCAGGTGTTGACCCACTTCATGGCCCACAGCAAAAGACAGCAGGAATACACATCCCATCCTTTTTGTCCTCCTGCATGGGTTGTGGTTAGCTTCCTCTCAAATAAAAACTTCCTTCAAATAAAATGCAATTCAAAAAGACGTTTGTCTGTAGTCCAGGTTCCTGTCCAATCCACCTGCTGTTCTTTCACACACGTGTCAGTATTTTTCTTCCATCAGCCGGTCTCTCTCTCTCTCT